AGAGGTATCCTCTTCTTCACAAAAATTGAGCTTGCCTCAACTCTGGCCTGTCACTCCTAATCTATTTTAATTTTCATTATAAAAAATTAACTTTTCTCAAAAGAAACCTTAAATTTATAAACTATAATATTTGAGGAAATTAAAATCATTCTTAGAGCCACCAACTTCGATGGAGTGCTTGTATGAGTGATGTTAACCTAGTACTAAATTTGGATATGTCTTATTCTCATTTTTTTCTCTCCATGAGTATGCTTTATCTTCTTTTAATATAAAGAAATGATCTTTAAAATATTAATATGCAAAAAACATAAGAAAAAAATAAACTAGCAGAAATTCCCACCTTCAAAATAATCCCTAAACCCTATTAATTTAAGTTGACTACCCTCTCTGTCTCCCTAAGCACCAAACAGAGAGAGGTATGTTTTAAACATGGCCAGGTCTGTGATGTACAAGTAGTTTGATATCCAGGGTTTTAACTTAAAGATCTAGCATCACCACTTCCTTCTACTATAACTTATCAAAAGTAAAATTATAGTAGAAAAAATTGCACAATGGTCCATCATGCAGTTTTCTTCTTGTACTGTATGTAAAGTTATTTCCAACTTTTCGCGATAATAAATGATGCTTCAATGAGCATTTCTGTACTGAAAGCTTTCACACTCCTACCTTAAAAATTCCACTGTATTACCCTGTTCCTTTTGTGATTTCTTCTCTTGGTTTTAGGAAGAGAAAGTGCTTCCCCACCCAAAGATCAGAATTTTTCTTTGATTTCTTTTTTCCCTTTTTAAAAAACTTGGCTCCTTAATATTTTAATATGTTATTAACAATTCAAAGCTTATTTATCACATGGTTAAGTTTAAGCCAAAAGTAGGTTATTTGCCCAACATTTTCAAATGCACATTATATTTTTAAAGGAAATCGATACCTCATATTCTTGGCTTTACACTAAAGCCTCAGAAAGCCTTCAGGGCTGACAAAATAACCAGAGCTTTGATTATCAGCAGGAAATCACACCAGGTAGAAATGAAGAGGCACTTTCACAGGCCTAATTCAAGCTAAACAGTAAGAACCAAGTTCCTAGCTTCAGTGTTTTATTATTTTAGCCTTAAAAAATCTTAAGAGTTCCAAGACTAGCTTATGTAGTTGCAAGACAGTTCCCAATGCTGTGGGCTTACTCTCCAATGGTCACTACTGGGTGAGACTGGTCACTACTGGTCTCATTTACTGACCACAGGCCACCTCCACATCCTGCCTTTGGTCAGCATATTCTAGCCATTGGTCACCAGCAGAAGAGTTGAGAAAGCAGAACACACGCTCAACCCCGGCCCCCCCCCCAACCCAGGAGAAAAAGAACAGAAAGGCCATACACACCTCACTGGTGGATGGTGGATCAGTAGAAGCATCTTCAAGTATGAAGAGCAATGCAGATGTCAGTATTTACATGGCTGCTTCTCATGATTAATAAATATCAGATTATATTTCCCAAGAACATCAACTTCTCATGTCAATTATTCTTTCTCTACCACATCACCCTCCAAGGCACAATGCTGTTACTGCTGCTTATTAGCTTGTGACAGATTACAGAACCTCCCTGAGACAGTTTCCACAATGGGAAAGTGGGGATAATAAAGACATTGACACCACTGGGTGGCTGTGAGGATTAAGTAGGCAGTTTAGAACAGGCCTGCCCTTAGGGAATGTTTCTGAGAGCTAGTTGTTATTACTACGCTTACCACTGCCTGGGGTACTCCTGCCTTGACTGCTGTTACACCACCCCCAGAAATGCCAGAGGGGAGACTTAAATTTGTTTCTTCAGAATGAGAGAGTAAACTGGGAGGTCTGTGGTACGGTCAGACCTGGAGTAAAATCTGTCCTCAGCCTTTGCAACGCCATTAGGAAGTCGGTACGTGTGTCATGAATAAAACAGTGGGTTTCTGGGGGGATGGAATCACAGCCCCCCCCCTCACTTTCTGTCCCTGCTCCCTGATTCAAAAGCACAAGATCCATGCACAGCACATAGGCATCTTCAGAGAGCAGGGCCAAGAGCAAGACCCCGGGGGGTCAAGCAAGAAAAAGGTTGCAGCGGCCCTGGTCATTGCAGCCATTGCATGAGTCCTCCTCACAAGGCAGAGCTGCAGACTGAGAGTCGGCACCTTCTGAAAGATACACAGGGAAGGTTAAGACCATGGGTGGGAGTGAGACTGATGTGGGGTGTGTGAGTGGAATAGGCCCATAGGTGAAAATTTATCAAGGTTCAGTGGTCAGAAAAACCACCTCTAATATCACAACGACCCCTACTTACTCATTTCTTTTTCAGAGTGCTTACGATCTACGACTGAAGGTCACGTTTCCCGATGTTTGGAGGGTGGGCCAACTCCTGTTGAAATAATTTGCCTAAGGATGTGCGTCCAACATCAAAACCCAGATTTACTTTAAAAGGAAAAAAGGTTCACATGCTTCTGGGTCATCAGCTAGGTTCACAAGCCTTCAAACGCTAATGAGACATCTGGAATACTCGGAATAACAACAAGAAAGTATGCTGAATAACAAGTAATGGACTCAGTCCTGGCCGGGTGGCTCAGCTGGATGAGTCACTGTTCTGCACACCCAACATCGGCAGGTTCAACCCCGCTCAAGGCCCAGGCCCAGGATGCAGGTTTGATTCCGCCTGAGGCTCGTACAGGAGGCTACCAAGGGAGGTTTCTCTCTCACACTGCTGTTTTTCTCTCTCTCCTTTCCTTTCTCTAAAACCAATAAAAACATATCCTCAGGTGAACATTTATATATATAAATTAATTAACTCAAAGCGTAACTTAAAATGAGTGGAAATGAGAAAATGCCTATACCTATTTGATTTTTGCCAGAAGGCTGAAATGCAACAAAACGAAACTAGTCTGGCAAGACAAGAGCAAGAACTGCAATGTGTGTTACAGACCAAGAATCAGGAATAAGATTTGTGTAAACATATCATCCCAAAATCATAGATTTTGAGCACTCTAGTCTTTTTTTCTCCCCACATTTGAAAGAAACTTATTTTAATGGATATTCTTTGGGAAAACCCTAAAATTTGGACTTCAGGGCGTTTCCCCTCTTAGTGTATCCTTTGCTTCATTGTTTATTTCTGTTACTGATCAGTGGTATTTTGTTTTGTTACCTCTAGAAGAAAAGGACATGAAGAACTTGCAAACCCGGAAACTGAGACCTAGCACATATAAATCAGCTTTTCCTGGCTGTCATCCATGCAAAATAAGCACAAACAAGTAAATGACTTAACATTGTTCTTTTTAAATCACTGGGCAGCTACAATCAGGTTGGCAGAAGGCTTCCTTCAAGATTTCAATGAATAACACCTACCAGTTAATAGCATGTACACAACAATAGTATATATTAAGCAAGTCATAGCTGGTAGATTTGCTGTTAAGGAGAGGCCCTGCAGAGCAGGTCGGTCATTGGCTGCACAGTTAGGTCTTAGGGGTTCGGGGTGCAGCCCGCTTTGTAGTCCTGAAGTGGCATGATGAGGTCATAACCTGACAATGTCAGCCTCAGCAGAAATGGGAACAGGGCCCTTAAAACTTAGTAAATCACCTCAGAGACATCTTTGAAGCACCTATTTCTGTCTCCATTCTCCCTTGATTTTATTAAACAGAGTTGAAGATGAGAGAACAGACCCTTTCTGAAATGAAACACTATTTCCCAGTCGGGAAAACAAACAAACAAAAAAAACATAGAAGACTAAAATGGCAATATCAGAAGCACTGTAGCACATTTTAAAACATTAGTATATTATGTCGAACAGAAGCACTCTTAAAATAACATAAATCAAAAGCATATTTCCTAAAGTTTTGTATACTTAAGACATCATCGACTGAACTCGTGTTACAGACCAAGTTTACGCCGGATGGCTTCTGTGACAAACTCCCAAAGGAGAAACTGCTCTCTAGGTCTTTAGGTCAAGGAAATTAAAGAAAATAGTGTCATGATACATAGCCTTCCTGACTTGATTTCATTTTATTACTATTAGCAGTAATCTTTATAGTCCTATCTACTCCTAGAGTAACCTTGGATTTTGAGGACTCACTCAAAAACAGTGACAATAAATAAGGAAGGAATTCAGTCCAGCTTAATCCACCTGTAGACACTGCCCACATCAGTTGTTAGGCAGGTATTTTATGAGGCATTCTAGAAAAATGCCCCATGTTTCAAAGAGAAAATTAAAACGATATTGTGGTTCATTGTAACTCTCAGGAGCAGGCCCCAGGGAGAACCGGGCACGGGAAGTGCACGCGTGTGGGCGAAACGACGCCGCTGGCTGGGGTGCAGGGTCCTGCTGCCGAACGTTCAAAAATAAACCGGAACCAACTGTGTCTACAATCATAGTTATGCCCAAAGGATTTAATGAGAGGACACCAAAAAGAGTAACTCTGAAAAAGGAACTGAAAACACTTACAAACAAGAGCAAATCTCTAAACTGCAAATCCAATGCACACAGGACGTTGCATCGTGCATTCCACGGCATTTAAGAGTGTCAAACAATGTATATATTATAAGGACAATCATACCTCCCGATCTGCATTATTTTGCAAAAGGACACAGCAATATCGCAAATGCTGTGCTGTCATTTCATCGGCCAGTGAGCACAGAAAGAAAACCTGACATGCAGCACAAAGTTCAAAATGTTACGCACTAACCTGGTACCCCCGTGAAAAGAGTCTCTTCATGCTGCTTCAATGGAAGAAACCTTAGGACGAAGCTAATCTCCAGAGCAGCTGATAGCCGAGAGGGGGAAAAACACTGACAGCCCTGAGAATCCACACACACAGGGAAAGCAGTCTGTTCCCTGTTTTTGGCCGCCTCCCTAAAGGCAACTTAAGTCAAAGCCAAGCCCACAAAGCACTTTAGCCTATAAGCTTTAGTAATGAACTGGAAACCACACCCCACATGTTAACTAGACACTGGGCTACTGTGAGAAATAGAAAATCCACAGATGGAAGGAGCGGAGGCTTCAGGCTTTGTTTTTGTCCTTGCTGTCCAAGAAAACCAACACACAAACTTGAAGAGAATGCGTACCCTGGCCCCCCTTTGGAGACGCATGAAGGTGACTCATTTATTTTAAACAAGAGGAATACAGCCTGCCCTCCATTAGGGCGGGGAATTGAGTCTTGCATTGTTACCCAAGTTGGGTGGTGATGGTAGGAAAACACACGGCCCCGCGATTTCACAAGAAGCACATGTGAAATTGCCATTTCTGAGTCTCCGAGTCACCATGTATTTAGATTTTGGGGGGGTCACATTGCAAAGGTCTAAAACCTCTATAATCACTAAAGACTAAAAGCTAATTTAAGTTCAAGAAAAAAATTTCTCAAGGAACCTTCTAACTTCTAATGCTCACTTGGTGTCTGTAAACCTGAAAATCACTCATAATTCAATCTCATATATATGTGATAAAAAGGCTTTTGGTAGTTTTTGAGTTTTTTGTAGTTTAAAATGGAACACAAGGTGACTCAATATGGTTTCAAAGTGTAGAATTTAAATATATTTTTCATCCTAGGAAAATGTAATTGATGATTTCCTTAAGACATTTATATCTTAAAAGTCAATAATGTTCCAACATATATTGCCTAAAACAGAATAAGATTCTATAATATGCTTTTTAATATAATGTGTCTCCAATATACACAATCTTTCCCTAGTTTTCAATTCCTAGAAGAGTTTTCATTCTAACAGCTTGATTTCTATCTTATTTAAATAACAGCTATATGACATAATGGTCCAAGTTACCTAACCTTATTGCATCTTTTAAGCTATAAGATTGGATCAAATATTCCAAGAAAAACTTGATTCACTTGTTGCCAAATAGATTTACGTGTATTTCTGAAACAATTCAAGTTACTCGAAGCCTATGAAACCTAAGTCATCAGCCTATGAGCTCAACAAGATCAGACAGGAAAAACCCCAAGACTCCCCCACATCTGAGAGCTGCCTGCCTCCCCCACCTTCACCCAGGACAGGGCTCCACAGTGTCTCATGGGGTCACGTGAGGATGAGGAGGAGCAACTGTCCCCTCCACGAGAAAACTACCCTAAAAAGGAGCCACTACCCCACCTGGTGGCAAAACTAAGAAAAGGCTAGAACAGTTAAACTTGGAAGTCGGAAGGAAAACAAAAACACTAGATTAGGACAGTACATTCATGCCACATACAATGTGTAGTAAGTATCATGAAAGATTTTCCCCCACAAAAGTAGGATGTTTCTAGGGGATATGAAAATACTCATGCCAAAAAAGTATGTATATTCAAAACCATCTCTTTTATGTGGATCTGCTTTGCAAACATGTATAATAATTTGCATTCAAAGAGAAATCCTCTGATGAATAATATTGACTTCTCCTTTATCCAGAGATCTGCAAAAAAGAAAATCCTGTGAAGTGCACATAATCTCTGAAATGAAGGAAATACGGAAGTATCTCCAATTCATCTCGGTCACTGCTGGTGGGATGGTGTCTCCACCTTTCTACATTAAAAGGTTGTATTCCCAGGATTTTTCTTACCTTTTGTCAAAAAGTGTTCCATTTGTCTCATATTAATTATTTCTGCTAAAATGGGACCTCCAGTATCTGTCTCAATGGAGATAAGAACAATTAAACATTGGGCTTCAAATTACATGATGGTCTTTACTAAAACTCCAGTAAAAATTAAAGAGCCTTTTAAATGAGCCCAAGTCACATTACTAAAACTGAAACTAATAATTGTAGCTAATGTTTAAGTTCTTGCCACAAGTTAGCACTGGTTCTAAAGTGTTGCACAAGTATTAACTTATTTAAAACTCACCTCTCTATTATTATACCAGTTTTACAGATGAGAAAAGCAAGACACTAACTTAGGGTATCATGTCAAGGTCAAATAGCTAGTGGTGGAGCTGGGATTAGACCCCAAGCAGTTTGGCTCTGAAGGCAGTGCCCCTGAGCACATACTTTAATCATTCTGCCCCCGGAGTACCCAGCACTTGTGAAAGCGAACCACAGTCTGGTCAAAGCACGGGAGGAGGAAATGGCTGGATGAGAACTGCTCCGTAGACAGTCCTCATGAAGGAGCAGGCTGGATAGGAGAGGCTTTCCAGCAAAGCAGACACAGAGCTGAGACCTAAAGGCAATATGCCAGGGAAGGGATGCCCAGGTAGAATTCACTGGCCCTGCCAAAGCAAAGGAGAAAATGAAGAGCCGGCCATTGGAGGGACCACTGGGAACTCTGGGAGGCTAGGGGTCTTGTGGGGCGGGGCAGGGGGGATCCACTGGGAGGAAGGCAGGAGTTCTCTGATGTCTCACATCACGGAGGCAAAGAGACGTAGAGAGATGTTAAACCAGAAAGTGACCAGATGTGCATGTTGGAAACATAAGTAAGGAGAAACCAGACCTTGCAGGGTAAGTAGAAATTTAGAAGATATTGCAGGTGAGGGGAAAGGCAGACCAGTGCTTTTCAACATACAAGGTTACATTTTCACAAACTTTATCAAAAAGGCTGAGGCAATAATCCCGGGTGCTCACCAGCTTCCTTGTTGAAGTTCAGATTGGGACCTGAGCCATGAGAAGGTCGTTAACGTCATCCACAGAGCTGGGGACACAGAAGGAAGACTAGGCTGGCAGGAAGAGGAGGTGGGATGGCCAAGGTGAAGGGCTGGCCTTGGAGGCTGTGTATGAGGTCCTGGGGGCCATCCAGGAGGCAGGTGCGGCAGGAGACGCAGGGCTGGTGCTCCATCCAGTTCCCTGCCTGCATGGGAGGGCTACAGCCAGGACTCCGAGCCCGGGAAGGCGGCTGCAGCTGGAGGGCAGCAGCGGGCGCGGTGACTTGGCCCCTGGAGAGTGCACAGTGTCAGAGGAAAGGGCGATGTGGTCCAGGATTGGGTTCCAGGGATCTCAGACTGAACTCAGGCCACGGGTGGGGGGAAATTTCATTTTAATTTTTACTAACTTCCAAAACTAGCCATCTCTGTGTCTTGTCACAACTAGAAATCAAAGAAATCCTATCACATTACCAATTGTTGCAAATACTCAAAGTATCATTTCCACTTATGCCCACTTTAAAATTATAGTAGTTATTAGAACTACCTACCACTAGCTCTTGATATGTAATGCATTAATATAGACTGTATATTACAATATTACATTTTTGGTATATGTATTGATGATGATCTATTAGTGTGTATATATATATATAAAATATACTGGTTTCCTTCATAATCCTATGCATTCTGATTTTATGCACTTATGTTTATGCATTAAACATTAGTCTAAAAAGGGATTCATTAGCTTCACTAGAATGCCAAAGGGGTTCTGTGGCACACACACAAAAATGTGAAGAACATCTGATTTAAAGGAGTAAAGAAAAACCCATAGGAAGACGTTTAAAAAAATGCATTCGGAAAAGAAGGGACCTACAACCAGAGGACCCACGATTCAAACCCAGAACTTCTGACTTGTGTTCTTCCCTCCACCAACTCCACACCCTAGAATAATAAAAGTAGTAATCCCTTCATTTGTGCCAGTAAAGGGCTTTCACATGGATCACCTCATTAGCCGATCACCAAGTCCCAGAGCAAGAAAAGGCGGACGCTGATCTCCCTGAGACCTCGGAAATCCACAGCCCAAGAAGACACCAGGCCCTGGGGCCAGAGCGCTGGACCAGTTTCGGAAGGTAGCCCGCGGCATCTTCCACTCCACGCCAAGGAGCCACAGTCACGAGCACAGAGCAGTCCCAAGAAGAGCAGACCCTGTGGAGCGTGTGAGCTAGAACCTGATCAGGAGAGAAAGGTCCAGAAGCCTGCTTGTCCGCAGGCTTCCATTGGCAGGCAAGGCAACAAGTTACCAGGACGCTTTGCTCAAAGCTCATTTATTTAGTTCTGATTACTGATCCAGGGTGAATTACAAGATTTACAATATTTCAACTGTTTACGTTTCCTTTGGCTATAACAAGAACAGAAGCCTGTACTTAAGCAATTAGCCTGAAATTAGACGAGCTGAAACAAGGCGCGCTCTGTTCCCCCACTGTGCCCACCAACTGACGTCCATTATTTAACCCGTGACTCGAGTTGCCAGGGCCGCACTAACGACAATGTCACTCATTGTCTGCACGTCCACTCCCCGACTCTGTAACATCTGTCATGGCTCATGTCTATATTTTATTGTATTTTGTTCTCTTACTTTTACAGGGTAATTTTCTTAACTACTGCAAATTGCTCTGAAATCTATTCTGACCCTCCAAAGAGGCAACAACATTTTATAACTTGGCAATAAAATCTGAAGGTACGTAAGCAAGCACCCTTTTAGGTTCCTGCAAATTTATACAAAATGACATCATGGGTGGCTAGGGTTTTTTTTTTTTTTATAATCTTATCGCTTCCCAGATTACTTTGGTCTCTCATGTAACGCAGGCTTCCCTTTCACACATTAGTGAGATCGTGGCTTTACATGACTGACATAATATGCTCTTCTGAAAAACAAGTTGAGTATTTCCTAATACACATGTTAAAATGTAACTTACTATATTTATTGATTGACCTTGAAGTTCCAAGTTTCTCTATTCTTTTCTTTCTTTTTTAAATAAGGATACATCGTGAAACTGTCAAGTGCCTCTAGTCACAGCCACCTGAAAACTGCAGTGAAAATTCTTGTGGGTAAAAAAAGAAAGTTTGAAATTGGTTTCCAGGCCTCTGGAACAGAGGAGAGGGCGGGGCCTCCAGCTGCTGCCTCTCTGAGGACACACAGACACTTGGACGCATGGACCCGGCACACCCATCCACTCAAAGTGCAGCAGAAGGCCACGCCGCCACCGCCGCCTGCACTGTGGGGAGAAGGGACTGAACCTGTAGCCACAGGCCCGCGGTATCTTACCTTCTAACCGCCCAAGCACTTCCTTCCTCGTTTGCCCAATCTTAGAATGGAAGCGCTTCCTGTCACCCAGGCAGTTCTTGTAGCCTGAAGCCGCTTGCTTTCCTTCCCACCCTCTTTTCTCTGCACTGCTCCCAAAGTGCTTCTGCACAGGACCCCTCCCTCTGGCCAAACCGGTTTAACCCATTTTTCAACCCCTAGTTCTTCTTCCCCAACAAAATTTCAACCAGAATTGGTAATATGGGAATTTCCCTACCAATTCTCAAGCAAATGGTCCAGCCAAGCAAATACACCTTACAGTCCATTCAGTGCCTGGTAGTTGTCCTGTGCCAACTCCCTTCATTAACAGGTCATCATTGCTTACACCTTCCAGCCTTGGCCACCCATTGTTTACTAGTTCCTTGTGCATTCACTCGATTTATCCATCCAGCCATTCGTTAAATATTTACTGAGTGCACCTCTCCAGCAAAGTGCTGGGCACACAGCACACAGCAGAGGATAAAGACATGTGCTCTTGGCCCTGGGGAAGCTTACAGTTGAATTCTCTTGCCAATGAGTGCTCATTCTGCTTTTTCATCGCCTTCATCGCTCTGAGAGCCCCAAGGCCATGTGCCCATGCAGAAGTGCCCACTAACAAACAGGAACCAGTCTGGTGTTTTCCTGACTCTGTGCAGTAAATTGGGCTGTCTGGTGAATTTCCTTCCTTAGGATATAGTCATCTGTGTTCAACACAGACCTACTTTCTGATCAGTTATAGGGAAACAGTCTATTTGCACTCATTTTCTGCTTCTTTCTTGAGATATAATTACTTTCATTTGGCAGTTTTTTGGTTAAATAAATACCTGAGTGCCCACTGGTGGTTGGCGTTTCTCTCACACTGTGGCAGCTGGCTGTACAAGGAAAACCTCATGGGCGCTCTCCCTTCAGGGAGCACACCCAGCCTTTCTCCCTCTGCTTTTCCCCAGGCACGACACCTTCCCCTTCCTCTGTCCTAAACTCCAAGGGCCCTTCTTTTGTCTTTGTGACTTGTTTCCTACGCCCATTTCTTCTATAGCTCAGTTGAGAAGAGGGGAGGGGAGGGGAAGGGAGGGGAGGGGGGGGGGGGGGGGGGGGGGGAGGGGAGGGAGGGGAGGGGAGGGGAGGGGAGGGGAGGGGAGGGGAGGGGAGACCTAAGAGAAAATGATACGGATTTTGTGCATCAGAAAAAGAATCTAAAGTATATCTGCATACGTTATAACTCACTTAGACATCAACATGCCCAGGAAATAAAACTAGGGAGGTGTTTTCCCTGATAAATATTCACGGCGTGGTGTTCATTCTCACAGTGTGGTCCGTATGTGGGGGGCGGGTGCCCACAGGACAGGCTGGTGCAAGTTAACGCCAGAGCCGCCTGTGAAGCAGTGAGCTCATGGAGCCTGCATCCTCACCGGGAAAAAGGGAACATCTTTTCCCTGATGATATAATGAAATTAAAACAACGTGGGAATTTGGTTTTTTTATGAAAAGGGATATTTTTTAAGTATTTGTCATCCTCAAGAACAAAATGAACCTTTGTGTTTGTGAGTGCACTTGCAACTTCTCTTTGTAAGGCCTGAAAGGAGACTATGTGCACCTGTGAACTGATAAATTGGGTGAAAGAGAAAAAGGGATTATCAGTTTACCAACTGCCGAGAAAAGCAGGCCACGGTCACGTGGTAACACCACCGAGGAGGTGGTGAGGATGGGCTTTTCCTGATGCACAGAATTCCTGCATTGCTCATACCTGAGTTCATTTAGTACATCAGTGAACCAAACAGCTAGCCTCTGGTTTTCTAACAACCTGTCTCTCCTTAGCTTCCCAAATAAAAGCCAAAACCAACAGACAAAAACAGCACAGCAACAAATAAAATAAAATACACTTTTATATACTTTTTTAAAATTGTGCTAAAAAACATTTCACATCCCTGCACACTGACCCAGAAAAGTACTGTCAAGACGATGGTGAGACTCAGTTTAGTCCTGGACCAAAAGCTTTGACACAGCTGCTGACCTTTGGTGCTTCACATCTATAAAAGCACATCATTGCTGAAGACAGTTTGAGAAGACAAGAGCACTTATTACATGTCTATCCATACACTTCTGTTGCCAAGTCCAATGATCCATTTGCACTTAAATTCCCGGCTGCCAGGGACTTGGTTTGCATCTGTTAATAAGACAGCTTATTGAAATGGTATTACTTCATTTCAATATCTACTGAGTTCCTACTATCTGCTATGCACTGTGAGGCACTGCAAGTTCAAGAACAAAGAAGACAGACTGTCTTCAGAAAGCTAGCAGACTCACAGAGAAAGCAGCCTACATGGCCCATGAACAAAAGTATACTGTGTACAAACAAAAGTCGTGCATGGAAGTGCCATGCAAACGTGGAGGGGCAGGAGTGATTCAGCATGCAGGGAAAGTGGGTTGTAAGGGAAGACTCCAGAGAGGGGTAGGACATTTCCCTATAAGTGGACAAGGGAGGAACGGCGTCCTTTTCAAAGAGCCAAGGCACAGGAGAGCACCTGGCATACTGTGGCCCTGAGAATCCCTGCAGAGAGAGCAACGGAGACAGGGCCAGAGGGAAGAAGGGGAGGAGAGAGAGGGAAAGAGGATGTGTGCATGTATACGGGAAAGCTAGAAAAAGTCAAAAAAACATGTGACAGCCACACTGAGAAAGGTCTTGCAATCATCTGATTCAGTGTTCCCCCAAAATTTGTGTGTTGAAATCCTAAACCCCAAAAGTTTTATACTAGGATATGGGGTCTTTGGGAGGAGTTTAAGCCATGAGGGTGGAGCCCTCATATATGAGATTGCTGATTTACAAAAGAGCCTCCAGAGAACTCCTAGCCCCCTTTAACAACAGGGGGAGGACCTAGAAAGAGGATCCTCACCGGAAGAGGACTATACTGGTGTCTTAATCTTGGACTTCCCAGCCTCCAGAAGTGAGAGCATACATTTCTGTTGTTTATAAGCTGTCCAGTTGGCAACAGTTCGTTATAACGGCCTGCACAAACTGAAACAGATCTGGAATGCCATGCTAAAGAGTTTTAGATCCAATCTTTGGTGATGGGAAGCACAGAAGGATTTTAGCTATAGAATAACATAATCTAATCTGTGTTTTACAAAGATCACTCTGTAAAGCTGGAGGCACAGAATCAGCGATATTCCCGCATTGCACCCGCTTGTGTGGTGGCCACAGCGGAAGGGGAAAGGAGGCTCTGAGGAGGTACGTAGAAACCAGCTGAGTTTGGGTAAGGGAGGCACTAGGGTCAGAGACGGCCACAGTTCTTACTGAAAGAAGGAAGTTTTACCATGAGAACCCACCCTCACCCAACTGCCATCCACAAATAAACACACCAAAAGAAATAAAGCATGTATTGAGAAAATGAATGCCTGCTTATATAAGGAAACATAGGAACGAAGGTCTATAATGTGCCCTTTTTTTAGAACTTCCATTCATGCACACAAGTCTCCATCAGCACCGACTATGGTACCCGACACGGTGCTAGACACTCTGCTGGAGACAGCACAGCTAACAAGACAACGTGTCAACTCTTTGGGGGATGGTGGGTGGGGGTGCTGCAGCAATAACTATATAACCTGAGGTAGCTAGCCCAGCAGTGACTGAAAGCAAAGCAAAGTGATGGAGCAGGAAAGGGTTGTATTCTAGAGAGATGGTCGGGAAAGGCCTCTCTGATCGGTGATATTTAATTAGGGATCTCAAGCAAGTGAGGGTGCAAACCCCACTACAGTGGGACCCCTTCAGTTCGTATCTCACCAACTGCAGCAACATTCACTGCACGCCTCAGAATCTGCGTCCACATCCTAAAAGAGATCTGCTATGAAACCGGCCCCTAACAATTAGACCTGGGTCTCTCACAGAAGGTTCAGATGCGTTCTCAAAATTTTCTGTACAGATGCACTCACATCCCTCCCTGAAATTCATGGCTATTCGATTTCTGCACATGGCGCACCCTGCCTCTATGGGCTTCATGCCTCCTGAGCTAACAGTCAAAGCCGGCATCGTGATTGTGAGGACCAACAGAGTGACTTCACCATGCTCTCTACCTGCAGGAACACTGGGTTGCTGCTGAGTCTCATTTCCCTTGGGACTGCCAGGGTCTAGCAATGAGCTTGGCACAGAGTGAAGAGTCAATAAACACTTAAACAAATGAATGAAAGTCCTGATTTCAAGTTACATCTCAGGGAATAATATACTTAAACTTGTTAGAAGATCCCCTAATGTGTGTATATCCTCTTCGCAGAATTAAAACCACAAGTTTGCAACTCTGCCCTTAAAAAGTCACAAATTTCTCTTTTCAAGTAGATTTAAATCAGAAAACAGAACTGAGTTTCTTCAAATTCTTCATCTGCCTTAAAACATTCCCACCTATATTTAATATAAAGAATATAAATGTTTTGGAATTAGTGGTGATTGAATCACATTGTGAGTATACTAAAAATCACTGAACTGTATACTCTAAAAGGGTGTACAATTTATGAAATGTGAATCATATCTCAATAAAGCCATTCATTTTTATGAAAGAGTCGAGAACTCGCAGTAAAAGATCAATGAGCATCTGAGTCTCATCAGCAAAAACAGATTTGCAATGCTACTAATTTTTGCTTTAATTACAAAAGCCATTATTGCCTTGGATAAAGAATGAATATTAATATCTCTGTATAATCTTGACAAAAATGTACAAATGAGCCCTGGCTGGTGTGGCTCAGTGGACTGAGTGCCAGCCTGTGAACCAAAGGGCTGTGGGTCTGATTCCCAGTCAGGGCACGTGCCTGGGTTGCGGGCCAGGTCCCCAGTTGGGGCCACGCAAAAGGCAACAACACACGATGTCTCTCCTTCACTTTCTCCCTCCTTTCCCTTCTCTCTAAAAATAGATAAATAAAATCTTTTTTAAAAAGGTACAAATGAGAAAAAAATGTGCTATTAAAAATTATAAAATGGACAGCTTACCATTAGTTATGAAAGCAAATTTTAAATTCTGTTTACTTGATGAGTTCACAATGGCTGATGAGCTCAAAGCTTTTTAGTTACTTAATGAAAACATCAAAAATAAAATCTTAGCTATCTATGATAAACAGAGAGGGAAAAGAAAACAGAAAAAAATAGTTAAAAAGCACAATTAATACTAGGTCCTCATTTTAGCTACCAATCATAGCATCAGGGTACCATCTGCCAGAATATCAGAAATGAAGAAACACTGACTTGTTTTCAGTTTTTTTCCCTAGGTGACAACTAAATAACAGCGTACCATGGCTTTGTGAAGTATCAGTGTGGTTGGGCTGAACTACAACCCCCAGAATTCCCTCTTGCCTGTTTCCTGTTAGGGTTGACTGCCATAAATATTCCCTCCTGAGAGCTGGAGCAAAGGGAGGCAGCAGACTTGCTGCAGCCTATACACTCCTATTCCCAGTTATTCAATCAAATACTAACCTACTGCTGTTGTGAAGGGAACCAGCAGGCAATTAAGATATCTAATCAGTTCACTTTTATTAGTCAAAAGAGAAATTATATTCAGTGGAACTTATGCAATTAGTTAAAAGCCTTTAAAACAGGGGTTGGGCCCTCTCTGACTTCGGAAACTCCAAGCTTTAGTCCTGCCCTTGGGGTTCCAGCCTGCCCATAATATTAATTTCTTGACTGCTTGCCTTATGGATTTCAAGCATCCTTAGCCAGCCCCGCAATTGAGTTAAGCCAATTCCTTAACAGAGTAATGCCTTAATCAATGTCAACCACTAGCTCTGCCTCTATGGTAAACCCTGGCTGCGTCTTGTTACA